TAGATTAAGGGATCTGTATATAAGATTACTTTTCCATGTGCATAAGAGTAATTTAGTCTAATGTTGCTTTTGCAGGCAAATATTGACTTTCACAATGTAATGAGTAAAAGTTTGAAAAGGGGACCCTGCACTGTAGTGTAGTGGCTAAAGTCCTCACCTGGTGTGCGCCAAGATCCCACAGAGGTGCCGTTAGTTGTTCAGCTGCCCCACTTGCCATCCAGCTCCCTGCTTGTGGACTGGGAAAGCACTCAAAGACCCTTCACCCATGTGGGAGACCCTGAAGAAGCTCCTGGCTCCTGACTTTGGATCACCATAGCTCTGGCTGTTGCAGTCACTTGAGGAATAAATCAGCAAATGGAAGATCTTTCTCTCTGTAAATCTAACTTTTCAAATACATAAACTCTTTTCTTAAAAAAAAAAGTCTAGAGAGGAAGGCATTGTAGCCATCCATGCACACTGTTAGTCCCTGCTCTATCCCGCACACACAACACTGCCTGACACATGGTTAGAACTCAAGAAACATTTGCTATTGAGAATGAACAAACAAATAAAGCCCCACAGAAAGAAAATTAGTAGCTGAATTCTGTAACCATAGGAGTTAATCTTGCCAGAAAAATCCCGAAGTGTGAGTTAAATTGCCTGGTTTAGGGTGACCTACCCTGAGTACTGAACCTCAATCCTGAGAATAGTGAGTAAGCACCTGTGGATATAAATCAGCATTTTCATAAGCAGGGGTTTGCTTGCTCTGTTTCTGTGTGTGGGTCCTTCTGTAGTCTTCTCAGGGTCGTGTCCTCAGTCGGCCTCCTCTGGGTTACGTAAAGTCTCTTTAGAGAAGATTACTGATATGACTACTGAAAACATAATTGAGCATGTTTCTAGAATACATTTTTAAGTTGTCTCTCATCATGACATTTTTCTCAGAATGTCTAGTAAATCCTCTTTGCATCTTAAGATATGTAATGGCTCATAATTATGTATGAAAAGCAATTCAAAATTAGGACCATCCCACTTCATTCCCTGATTATCTCTTGCTGAAGTGACTTCTGTAGCCTCCTAAATTGCATCCCCATCTCTGCTTTAACCCTTCCTACAGCACACTCTAATCCATCTTAACAAACACCTTTTTTTCACATGACCACCTAATACATTTTGTAAAAGTCTTCCCAAAATGAAGGATAAAAATACATATGTTAATGCTATACTATGTTTCTAGAAGTTTTAAAGCAGAATACTGGTGTTAAGACATGCCTAGAAATTTAGTATGATTCAAGTATAAAGAAGTATTTCCCTAAGTATTAAAATTGAAAAAGCAAAACACCTGGAAATTAGAGGAGGAACAATGCAGAGTAACCTCTGAAATCTTATCTGCACCATTCAGCGCTAAAAATGCCTGCAGATTTCTAAGGGAAAAATAACCCCCAAAGCTCATATCAACCAAACCGATGCCTATGTGCATAAAGCTAACAGCATGAGGTGGTCCCCATGACTGTGGAACACTTGAGAACGCCTATGAAGCTTCCTTGGTGATTAGATCCGTCAGCATGGAGGTGAACGTTACTCCTTGTTATGTCCATCTTCAATCCAGACTTCTTTTTCTCATTTTAGGTTCTAAAATTCTAAAGGAAATATTTGAATTGGCTCAGGTAGGCCAGGTGTCTGTTTTGAACCAATTATGACAGCAGACCTAGCTGGTCCCTGATATTGTCCCTGCTTCAGCACATGAGTGAACCTACCAACTATGTCACGCAAGCCATTACAGAGCTAAGGTGATGGTGGTCCCCCGTTCCTGGTGCTGAGGTTGAGAAAGTATGGACTAAGCTCAGAATGTAATCAAGAATCTGGGTCTGTAATTTTGAAGTTCTCTTCTGAGTACTAGTGTGTTGTTCCTCTTGAAACACATGTTCCCGCTCCTTGAAATATTTTCAGCTTTGCAATTGAAAGGGAAATGACCCAATCAGCGAGTCAGACAGGAAATGATGCAGGGTGAATACCAGCAGCAGATCACTTAGCCACAATAGCCACCACTACTCCTGGGCATATCTGATATTTGTCACTTGCAGTCTGATTGATGAGAGAGGACTGACTTCCCTGTAGGAGATACTATAACTTATTTCCTTTTCCTCTTTTTAAAAGACCTGGAATTTGCAAGCTTCATCATAATACATTCTCATAAGGCTGGAAAGAATATCTGGATCGTTAGTTTATTTGACCTCAAATTATAATTCTCCTGAGAGCCTGGAGCAAGGAAACAGAATGTGATGATTTCTTGTCCTCCCACATGGAAGCCAAGCCAATAAATAACACAGAGGGCTTTATAGACCAAATAATGTCTGCTGTCTTGGAGCTGAGGGAACTGGTGGCACAGCAGGGAGCGTCACAGCTGCCTCTGTTTCGTGTAGATTGGTCTGACTCTGCAGCCCAGCCAGCTATTCTGCAGCATGATATTAAATCCACTGGCGAGGGAGATTTTCTTTATTTTTCTGTCACAAAAGCTTTAGAAATCTTAATAAATACAGGCTACTTTTTCAGGGAAAAGTGCATAAGTACTTCTTAATATACATGTAATTGTGCTTGTTTTCATCAACAAAATCATCAAGGTAAGAAGGTACCCTTTTAAAATTTTTTTTTAAAAAAAGTCACACTAATTTAGCCACATGGCAATGCGGCCAGAGAAAACAATTTCTCTGACTTCATTCACTCACCATGTGCGTTTTTAGTTGCAACACGGCTTGCCAGAAACCTGAGTCAGACTTACAGCAAAGCCTTGTCCCAGAAGACTCAAGAGCTTAAAAATCAGGGAAGATGCCATATTTTGACATAACACAGCTGTGTCCGAATAGCAAAGGGGGCAAAAGGCAAAATGAGTGTCACTACTCTGAGCTCCTCTGTCAAGCAAGAACAACAACACGAAAGGGTTAGATCTCCTTGACCAGATGTCAGTGAAATAATTCCATTGGCAAAAGTTGATTCGTTAGTTTAATAAATCACTTTGTGAAAAATGGGAATATTATGGAACTATCCAAAATGGTACTTAATCAAACACTTAATCGTGTACATTAACAGCTTCTTATGTTCAAAGACTCTATTTTAAAAGTGACTATCTGGGGTCTTTTGTGTATCTAAGCAGATACATCCAGTTGTTAATAAATTAAAAGATTAAATAAAGATCAACCTGAAGAATTTAATTGCAGAGTTTAAAAGACAGTGATGTTGAGAGTGAAATGACAGGTTGAAAATGTCTGTCACTCTGGTACAGGACCTCTCCACTGCCTTTCGCGAGCCAAGTATCTCATGAAGTAATTTCCTCAGGAACCCAAGTGTTCGTTTTGATATAAAAGTAAAACTTATAGGTTGAGAGAAAATTTTTCAAAAATTGCATAATATAAGTTCCCAGCTTATTAAACAGCCTGAAGAAAGAAGCATTCTTAACCTAGGACCCACACTCTGTGGAGGAAAGATCTCTGTAAAGGGGAATCCAAAAGCCCGAGAGCCTCTTCAGGTCACATGCATGTGTGCAGACCCATACTGATGAGCTTGACCCCTACTCTGTCCTTCACAGAGATCTCCCTAAAGCTTGTAAAAGGTTAAGTAGCCTTGGACAATACAGAGCACCAGTTAATGCATTTGCAATTAATCAAGGCATTCATTTTGAATGTTTCCTACTCTCACAAATGTTGGAACAGGGAGAGTCCATGGAACATATTGGAATAATTAGATACATTTGTCCAGCCACAAAATCACTCAATATAATCATTTGCAACAATACACTGCAGAGGAAGTGAAACATTCATTGTGGATGCAAAAATCCCTCTGTAATCCAAGAGACTATTTTTAAACTTTCCTAAACTTTTGCTATTAAAGATATAACCATTTGTATCTTTAATAAAGATAAAGCCTAAATATAGGCCTCAACTGATGACTAATGCATTAAAACTTTAGTATTTTGTGCAACTGCAATGCCTTGCACAGGATAGGAAACATAGTAATGTGTCAATCAGTTATGAAATGTGATAATCAAATGCTTCATAGACTAAGTAGCTTCATAAGATTATTATTACACATAACTGTGCATTGTGTAAGGCCTTTGGGGTTTATAATGTTAAAATTTCTTATTTCTTATTTTTTCTTGGTAGCCATTGTATGTTTAAAATTTTGGTTTCTCAATTTCTAAGTCAACTCCTACCTTGAAGATTCTAAGTCCATTTGTATACATTGAGGCAAGTTGCTTTGCCTCACTAATATTCGTGGTTCTCCCTTTTGCATTTTTTTGTTAGTTTATTTTGCATCCAGAGTGTGAAAATGTAGGACAGTCTATTCATTTATAAAATTATAAAACTTTGTATTTTAAAGTTTGGCTAAGTAAAATGTTTGAAACTTTATTTTGAAGTTTTTTTTTTTTTTCAAAGGCATAGGGACAGAGAGGAGAGAGTACAGGAAAAGTGTCTCACCTGCTGGTTCACTCTCTCTAATGGCTAGAAAGGCCAAGTGTAGGCCAGGCCAGAGCCAGATGCTCAAACTCCGTCTAGGTGTTCCGTACAAGTAGCGGGGACCCAAACATTTGGACCATCTTCCAGTGTTCTCCCAGCTGCATTAGCAGAGAACTGGTCAGAACGTGGAACAGCAGGGATGTGAACCAGTGCCCATGTGGGAGATCAGTGTTGTACGGATTAGAAGTCAACAGCATGGACTATCATTTGCTGCCTTTCGGATCATTACCGCAAGCTGGATCAGAATCCGAGGCAGATCTCAATCCCAAGCAGCCCTGTATGGGATGCATGTATCCCACACAGTAGTTTAACCTGCAGGAATACAAACTCCGCCCCCAAATCTTAAAACCACGAATCACAAATATATTACTGCACAGTGAGAAGTTTATTAAAGTTAGTTTTTGAAAAAAGTATAATAGATTTCTGTGCCAATATAAATTGAAGCTTTTATTTAAGAAAGCAACTTATGAGAGAACCAGTAAAATGATAAAAAAAAAATTGTAAGAATATTTTTAAAGAATTATTTATTTCAATTGAACTTCAGAATCACAGAGAGAGAAGGAGAACAAGAGAGAACAATCTTCCATCTGCCGGTTCACCCCCAAACTGCTACAACAGCAAGAGCTGGGCCCTTCCAAAGCTGGGAGATAGGAGCTTCTTCTGGGCCTCCCACATGGAGGCAGAGGCCCAAGACCTTCGGCCATCCTGGGCTGAACCACATAAAATTCCTATATCAGTCTCATACTAGAGAGATGAACCATCCTGTGTTGTGTCTTTCCACAGACAGTGAATAAATGAATCCACATTTAGGTTTATATTCATTAGACACAATGTAACATATATTTAGATGTACAATAAAATGAACTGTTTATTAAACGCTTTCAGGAGAGGAATATGTGTTTTCTAGATTAAAATATAATAACTTTGTACTTTAGATGCTTAGGGGTATTTAATAAACTTAACTATGAGTGTTGTGAACCAAACCTTAACTTATCATGTCTCATCATCCTAGAAGTATGACACCTGTAAAGACTGAAATTGAGTAGTAAGTATATCTCTTAGGGTGACTTTGATAGTAAGTACTGTCTCATTGAAATGGTCACCAAATTCAAAATTGAGACTTAGACATAATTAGTGGAACACTTCAATAAAAAAAGAAATGAAAGATTGAATCTAATGTACATCTGTTCATTAATTTGCATTACAACTAAAACAGTGCAACAGGAGAATCTCCAAAAAGCTCATGAAAAATGTTTCTTACACAAAATGTATTAAGGGTGTTCAAAATTGTGTCAAAATAAACTTGCTTTCAATATCATTTTTCCATGAACTTTTTGGAATTCCCATTATATATGCTCCAAGAGAAGCCATAATGATCATTAATGATGATATCAAATATATCCACATAAACACGATTCTTAACTAGTCAAGATAGCAGAAATTCCTTATGTTAGTTTCTGAAAGTAACCTACAAAAGAAAATGAATCCCTGTAATTAAAGAAATCACAAGACATTTCATTTCTGATTTTTTATTATACATTTTTTAAGATACATATTTATTCTCATATCATCAGATTGAGAAAAATAAGTCAGTTAGTAATACACTTTTGTGTGTCTGCCAAAGTAGTTTAATCCATTTTACATTTGTTATAAATAAGCCACATACATTTATTTGATTCAAAGCATGATATAATTTGAGTGCATTTGAAATGCACACAGCACTTTCATTATTTCAGTAAGAAAAATGATTTTAGAATTTGACGCCTGGTCTTCAAGCACTCATTATAGAAAAAAAAAAATAATGCATCATGAATTATTCACTGATTATAAACAAAAACATTGTTAAATAATAAGTCCAGACAAACATGTATGTCCTTTCGTTTAGTGCTAAACATTTTGGAATAACAGAAAGCAACATAAAGTCATACATCCTTGTGTGAGAGGACCAGGCTGCCTGAGAGCGGTGCAGCACAGGACAGAAAATTAAAGCCAGCTTCGAGGGGACTAGGATTCTAATCATTAATATTACATTTTGGACTAAGATGCCAAGTTCCTTAAAAGACACGAGAAACTAAATATGCAACCTTGATAAGCTAAGGTGTAAAACAATTTGCCCAAAGAGTTACTGATTCATAAAACAAATGCAGAAAAGGACTTTATAAAGTTCAAGGACAACAGGTACAAGAAAAGACTCAAGAACCAATGAGAACAGGAATATATGGAAGCAGAAAGAAACAGGGCTACTGATGGAAAATCGAAGAGAAGGATGGTCCAAAGATCAGCTTTCCAAGGGCAAGTGTGGCAGTGAAGATGCTAAACATAACACTCTTGAATGAAAGCAAAGAACAGTTCTAATTAGATAAGCAAATCATTCCTTTCTCCTTGACCCATCCTCTCCTGCATTTATCACACCATTTTGACACTTTGTTCCATGCATTGTGATAAATAAGAATGTATAGACACGTTCATTTTTTTTTCCTATGTTAACCTTTCTTATAAACTCTTCAGTAATTCTGATTCACACTGATGTTAAGATACCCTTGATCAAAAGGCAGAAAACGTGTTACACTGTAACGATATCAGAGGGAGCTGAGAGGAAAGAGGATAGGATACATCCTGACACTTTCGGGACAAGAGAAGGACCAGTAAATCAATTCTTCACAGCGAGGACAGTGATGATGGCAAGGTAACGATGTTTTCTCTACATCTGAAACCTCTGTTTGAATTTCTGTGATTCATGTTGACCTTACTGTTCCAGCGACATGAAGACTCAAAACATGAATGCCAAATGTCTAAATCCTGGCAAACTGATTGAAAAACTGACAGAGTTTGGGAATTTCTCGAGGCCTACTATTGTCCAAAATCACAGTTTTTGTTCTAAAATCATGGGCTCTCCCATAGAGGAGCACTAGTCAGTGGCAGGCTTAAATTTTTTTTTTCATATTTCTCACATTGGAAAAAGGAAATGATATATTTAAACAAACTCGATATCTGTTACCTAATGCCAATACTGGGCAATATTAATTGTCAGGTTAAATATAAGTACGCAGAACAAACTTGAAGAAATCCCCTATTGATAATAAAATATACACAAATCACAGCATATCCTTTGTAAATCAGAAAAGTTAAAACATTAAAACAGATATTCTGTAAGTAATGTCAAATCAGTAACTTCCTACCTCAAAATTAATTTTCTAAGACTCTAGACTTAAATAAGACCAGAACTAAAAGAGCAAAAGTAATGCGAAAATTGCTGGATGCGGATGACTTACGTACTGTCATGATAAATTTCAAAAATAGAAAAATACGATTCTTGCTGCTAAGAGGTGGCTGATTTGTTTATAGATGTGAGCAAAAATACACCACTGGGTGTACACATAATCAACTATTTTTATTTGGAATGTTAGCGCAGGCTCTGATGCCTTTGACGATCATGTGTCTCAGTTGTCCAATGTGGGATTGCCCCGGGTGCTGTGAGGGACAGAATACTAAGTACCAATTGCAATAAAAGTTAGAGACCCAAAACATGGCATATAATATGGTTTATTAAAGGGCACGGGCCCTCTGGTGTACACTGTTCTATTAAATCGAATGAAAAAAAAATATTTCAAGTGCTTACTAGGATTAACTGGGAACTTGTCAGTAATCAGAAGACCCACTTGTCAAAATATTAGAGAAAATTATAAGCAAATGTTTTCGAGCAGTATGTTTTGAAAACAAGTCCACATATAATGCCCAAGCCCATCGAGTCTACATGATTAAATTTATTTGCTTTATCTATTGATTGGTGTCGTCTCATTTCCTTAAAAAAAAAAAAGTTAATGTGCTTTGTTTAAAAACAAAACAAAACTGCATAAATACATCAGCCGTCTAGCCAGCAGTGAACTTTTGTCATTCATTCATAGGCAAGACTTTGGCCCCGTGCGCGTTGATGTACGTGATAAGGATCTTGGCTCTCCGTTCTACGACATCAATAAGCTTCTCGATTCCTTGTCTGCCTCCTTGACTCTCCCAATAGATTTTATCCAAAAACAAAGACTGAAGAAGTTTCTGGCGTAAGTGCTGGCTCTTCAAAACAGAAACTGCAGATTCAGGAAACCTGGAAAGATAACATGATATTTCATTTTTAGGAATTGCTGGGAAACATCATCCTTTACCCAATTGCCCTATCCTTCATCTCCCTGGCATAACGCACGCTCTCCAGCGGATACCTCGGGGACAAACATGTCTGTCACTGTCAGACTGACACCTTTCCTAATGTCCCAGAAGGATGTGTTTCAAGTGAACTGAATCTTATATACCAGAGATCTTGACACTCACATCCCACGAATGTCATTGTATGCAGGCAAAAAGAGTCACGGAATTAGAAAGGATACCATTAAGCAGGCAAAAACATTTTTCTCCATTAAGTGTCATTTCACCCACAGTAACTTCTTTAATCTGCCAAGTAGAACAGTATTCTCTAAGTGCCGAGGTGGTGCAATAAATATGAGATGCTAAATGCAATTGCAGTAAAAATCGCCTTCCTGAGTTTAATGTAAAATAACTCACAATATATGTGCTAAAATCAGAATGTATTCATTCAAAAATTTAAAAAAGGAAAACAGCCCTTGATTCAGAGCATCGTGACTGTGAAGTGTTTGTTTTGAAATGGATTTGGCAAAGCTCAAGCGTCATAGCCAGGAAACTTCAGGAAAGCCTAAACTGACTTAGCAGGGTTCTTTCTGAGTTGCCTTGGAACACTGAATTATCTTCTCTTCATCGTAAATACAAAACGGGGAGTCTGCCATCTACATCATCTGAAGAGTTTAGCAAACTTCCTCACTGAAAGTCCTAGGTAGCATTTCGATAAAGCCACAATTTTGATCTCTCCACACTTTCATTTAAAATGAGGATGAGGAGTCACCATTTGCTGTGGCAGTTGGATCAGCCACATGCCGTACTGCAAGTCCTGGGTTCAAGTTCCAGATCTTCTCAAGTTGCATCCCTCTGCTAACGCGCTCCCTGTGGTCAGCAAGTGATGGCTCCAGCAGTGGACTTACTGCCACCTACGTGGGAGACCTGGATGAGTTCCTACCTTCCAGTTTTGGCCTCGGCTAGCCCCAGCCATGGTGAATATCACTGACCGGGAGCCCCATTTGGTCTCTCTAATCAATTTAATTAATTAATTAATTACAGTGGAAGGATAAATAAAAATACTGAAGCTCAGCAACAATATCCAAATAAAATCACTTGCACTTTAAAACTAAAGTGAGAATACACTTGTGTATAGAAAGCAGACTTTGTTAGAAATTTCAGATGTTGCAAACACCTTCTCCAAATTTCAGTGGACACAGTGTGGATGGTACACAGAGCACATGGATGGAAGGAAGCCAAGCGCTCCCCGAAATCCCAAGGGAGTTAGTGCTTAAATTTCCCCCACATGGGAGATTGTGATGATGGTTCTAGTTTATTCCTTCCAAAGAGACAAACTTGGAGACCAACTGAAGTGAATAACAACCTTAACATTCCATTGCCTTGCTGATGAAATGGAAGATGAATCACAAACTTCTCTGTGGTTTGAGCCTTTTCCTGGAATATTGGCTTAGACCGCCCACCATAGCCACCCTGTTTCTTGTCACAATGCCACTTTCTCAGGGCAAATGGAGCACCTGTCCCCTTCTCGAACTGTGCAACATTGTGGGATTGGTGCTCGCCCCATATCTTGGAGAAGGTCCAGTAAGTTTTTGGAAGGATTGCCATGTTCACCTGAGTCCTATCAGCACCAAAACTGCCACAGTTCTGTGTTGTATAATGACCAACAGCAACAGAGCAGATGTGCTCAATGAGTCTGGATGTGGAATTAAATAATGCACAAGACACACACTGTAAAACTCAGTGGACATAGTATTAATTAAGCAGGAACCTTGATGCATGAAGTTTTAATAAACCATGATGTGTAAATTCTAAGGCTTTCTCTAATTTAGCTGGAGCAAAGTGCATGAGATGAAATTGTTAAAGCTTTAGATCTCTTCAGTGACTAACCCTTTCCATAAAGAAATCAAAAATACCCATCTGTCTTTGCCTTCATAGGAATTAATAGGAATATTCAACATATAAATCGGGGATTAGCGGAGTGTTAATTTTTGCTATTCAATGTGTGAATTATATATTCAAAAGAGACTGAACTTCAAAACCATTATTCTGCATAATGCATTTAAAGTACAGTCTTCTTTGAAAAGAATGGATGATTTGTATTCCGCACTCTTTATCTTAAAAGGGAATTAGCTGATTTAAGAAACCCCATAAAATAAACTCAGGAAGTGTTGTCATGACCACTCTAAGTTCTCTTCCTCTTGAGTTTGGTCCCTTTCTCTGGATCTCAATTTCCAGATTTCATATTCACAACTGGTTTCAAGATTAAATGAGTCAGACATAGACTTGGAGTTCTCTCAGGACATTACTACTTACTTAATATAAGTGTAATGTTCTACAGATGTTGTTGCATCACAAAACTTACTCTTTGATGCCTTCTAACAATTTGAAGTTTAAATTATCTTCACTTCTGTCAAAGAAACCTTTATTGTCTATAAAGACCAAATGCCTTGGGTCCTGCTTTCGCTGGATGATGTGTGCCAGAGCGGCAGAGTTTTGGTTGTCACATTTTGGCCTCAGTCCATTCTTTACACAGGCATCTTCTTTGCGGGGTCTGAATCCACAGCAGTTCGGATCTAAACGATTGTAAATCTGTAAAAGGAAAACAAAAATCTCAAGTGCTGAGTAAAAGCAAAACTTGGGAATACTAAAAATGATCAAAGAATTAGTGCTTTCTGACTAGTTCATTTGTCAGCATTGAAGAGAACCAGGCTGGTTTAATTAAAGGCGACTGTCAGAGCGAAGTCCAAGGTTCATATCCTTCTGACTCAGCTGCGAAGAAGAGCAGTTCCAGCTTCTACTAACAGTTCCAGAGTCAGATCATCCAAGTTAGGCATCTCCACCCTTTATATTCAGAGTTCCCACTGACGTCACTATGAACCCATGGCCAGCAGAATCTCTAACTCCCATTCACGAAAAAGACTCCATTGTACTCTTACCAACACAGGAGGCTCTGTCCTCTTCCCTCTGTTATTTTGTGTCAAATGAACTCTGAGGGGCAGGCAAGCTAGTAGTTAAGGAAGAGGTTGCACTGCCTGCACCTATGTTAGAAGTACATGAATTTGATGCCCAGCTCTGTCCTGTGATTCCAATCTCCTGCTAAAGCAACCCCTGGAAAATGGCAGTTTGCTGATAGGATGAGAAGCTGTTCAATACCCATGTGTGGGCTGAATGAATGGTCATCTGAAAGTAAGCTAGACTTTAGCAATGCTTTTCTGTATCCGTTTCTGAGCATCTGATCTCCTAGACTCTTCAAGGACTGTGAAAACACGGGAGGTGGAGAAATGGGTGGAGATTTAATGCCAAGAGAAGAAAAGTGTTTCCTACCATGTACTGAAATTAAGTGGTTTGTCCAACCAGCTTTTAATCTCTCAGAAGACTGTGATGAACTCACAGCTTCCATGACATACTATTGTGCCCTACACACCTAGCAGGTTGTTCCTGAAAACGGCTATGTAAGTCCACTTGAACTTCTCTTCTAGAAAATGTTACCACTCATTCTATTAAGACCCATGCATGGACCTATTGTATGTGTGTGTACAGTCTTGAATGGATGTGTGTGCATGTTTCTGTGCGCATACGTAGCACAGGTGTGGAATTAGATCGTAACACCTGAAATCATGCGAGTTTCCCTTTGTTTTCCTTGTCTTCCAGCCACAGTGAATTATGGCCTTGTGTTATTGTCCTTGTTTTGCACAGCGTATCTACCTCTTCAATCACATTCTCCAACCCCTCTGAGAGTTTTGTTTATAGTCTTCCTTTTGAATTCACATCTAGGATACCAAAAACAATTTGACCACAAACCATAAATCCAGTCCCTGAAAATCAGGGAAAATCATTATATTAAAATTGAGCACATTTCTCCTTACTTTTAAGATTCCTTAACTAGTTTTAAAGCCTGATAAAGCCTATCCTAGGTAACGCTGAATCCATAATACAGTTCCAGTATACTTGTTTAGTGTACGCACTAAACGGCCATACCACTCTACCATTGCAAGATTAAACGCTTGAGTACGCATACATGTATCTACGTTCTTCAACAGCTATCCTACAAAGGATGCTACTTAGAACTCATTTTTGTCAGTTCTACAGTTGTGTTAAGCATCATTTCCACAGCTTGTTCAAATTCACTCCTCACTCTTTAAAACAAAGAAAACCTGCTGTTAAATTGATCTACATCTGAAGATTACTGCTAACCAATAACCACTATTTTCCACAAACTCACTCTTTTCTCTTTTAGGAAAATCCATCTCTTCGGTGTTTACCCAACCATAAATGTATTAAGAAAAATCCAGGTATTCTAGCCAAAAAAAAAAAAAAAAGGTGGTGCTTGTGGTAAAATATTTTTAGAGATATTTCCTTTTATTTTGTACTCTATTTTCCTTTGGCAATGCTAGTTTTTCCTTAGGAAAAAACTGTCTCATGAGTGACTCATGCTGTGGTTCCAGTATCGAAGCAAGGGTGCTTTTGTGGAACGTTGCTGGCTCCCCAGGGCGCACTAGAAATCAGAGCAAATCGAATGACTGTCCACCACTAAGCCAAAACTGCTGTCTTCCTAGCTTCTCTCCCAGACAACAGTCATTGAAGTACTCATTTCCTTATGCCTGAAGAAAGGCAATAAAAATACTTCATGTGCCATTAACGTTGACCATGATAAAACAGAATGGCAGTCCTATACGGTGTTTAGATTGTATTTCATGTTTCACATACATTATTTCCTTTCATCATTGTAGCAGCTTTAAGAAGTGCTGGTTGCCAGTGACAACCTCATTTGTTAAATGAGAAGACTAAGGTACAAAAAAGCTAGCTGTTTTCCCCTAAAATTTCTCAGTTCATGAACCACAGAACTCAGGATTCTAATGTGCCACTTCCAAGAAAAGAAAAATTTTTTTTTACTCTGGGACAGAGTGTTAAGTGATACTGCATTCAATAAATATTGGATGCAAGGGTTTTGGTAGAAACACAAAGAAATTTAGTGTAAAATTTCAAGGAAAAACTCATGAAGGAGAGGAGATTACAGTTGGATTGGAAACAGCCAGGAAACACGCGCTGGAAAATAGGAGTAGGCATGGAAACATTCCTAGCCAAAGAAAGATACGCAGAATTCGAGTGTGCTGGACTGGTGTCTCAACAAGTCGAGTTGCTTTATTGAATTAATACATCGCTACTAGTATTACTATTTTTGCTTATTGGAGAAATGACACTTTTACAAATACAAACAAAATACCAGGCAAGTATTTTACCAGTTAAACAGACAAAATTTCTCAATTTGTAATCAAAACTACTACAATTTTCTTGGAATGTTTCCATTTATCTCACCATGGAGTGACATGAAGTTGCCTGTGTTGTTGGATCACGTGCCATCGCCCATGAAACTCTGTTGCCGGGGGTAGGAGGGATTGGAGAAAGACCATCAGGGAGTCAGGTCCAATAGTGAGTAAGAGTATTCTGTCTTCCTGCCGTTGTCTGTGCCTCTCACGTCAGGATACACTTAAATAGCAGAAGGATGAACTTACGACTGCTTTTGAAGGACTTTACTACTGTATATAGGGGAAATCAGTGGGGAGGAGGAGAATTAGAGTGGAAAATCCTAAGCCTGTGGAACTACATAAAAATTTTTTTTAAAAAATTAAGGTAGCTAAAAGACTCTGCATATGAGAAACTATTAGAAATATGTTTTATGTATGTATTTGCATATAATCGGCTTGCTTTGTAACCCTCTGTTTTACTTACATACATTGAAAACATTATTAGCTATTCTTTAAAAAAAAAAAAAGTGCTGAGTCTACAGGGAATAATAGACAATCTGCTTATAGTTGCATGATCATTTTCTTCTGTAGAGATGGAGCGGAAGAAAGCCAGGGGGAGCGAGACATCAAGTGACAGAATGGAGGCTCAGTGGCGTAGGAAGATGTGTGGGAGCCGAGCGGTGAGTAAAAGACAGTCTCTTCCTACTGGAAGTGGGAAACTTCCATCAGCCCATGTGTTTCTCATTCAATGATTTTAAGTTGCATCAACCGGCATATTTTTCAGCTTGTGTTTTCCCCTACCTCATGAAGGCTCTGACTTGGTTTCTATACATAAGGTTAGATGTAAACATGTGTATTTCCAGTGTAGTGAATGTCATCTTCTGGGTTTTTTTTTCAAACTATTCATTTTTATCATTTGAAAACTGTACCTTCAGAAAGCAAGCTGCACTTACAGAAGTAATATTTAATAAAACATCTAATCAGATTTAATAATTCAACAAATATCTAGCATAATAGGTACTCAATAAATTTTTATTACTGAATGAACTGTAGAAAATTGGTACTCACTTTGTATTTTGCTATACATGAAGTTCTTTTAAAGCACTATCATAGGTCATGAAGAGCCAGATAAACACAACAGCAGTAGCACAGTATGATATAGATTTAATAAAAGTAGTATCTAGTGAACGGAGTAGAAGAAAAAGAAAAACAGGATGGGGCAACAATGGAATGGACTCTGTCAATAATTTTTTATTTTGTTTGTTATTTATCTTTGGTTGACTTGTTTATAAAGGTTTCCTATCACTAACAATAAAATTTCCTACCAATTAAGCCTTGCATAATATGCCGCATATAATTACAAAATAGGAAGCTGCAATGAAATAAGTAACCAAAGGAAGTTCCTTTTTATAATCAGAATTTTTCTAGAAGACTAATCTGAACTCAAGTTACTTTTCTGCACATTTCATTGGGTTTTAGAACAAGCATGCCTAGGAGCAAGTGTTTGTTTCAGCGCTGAGGAGGCCGGTTGCAACACTGGCACCCAGGTTGGAGTGCCTGGTTTAAATCTCAGCCCCACATGGCACCCAGCTTCCTGCTAGCGCTTCCTGCTAGCGCACTGCAAGAGAGCAGCAGGTGGTGGCTGACCTCGTTGGGTCCATGCCACACAAAGCAATGGTGCAGATTAGGCTTTTACTACGTTCCATCTCCAGCCTGGCCCAGCCCCTGCTGTCGTGAGCAACTGGAGAGTAAATCAGAAGATGAAAACATTCTCTCTCTCTCTTTCCCCCCCACCCCTCCTGCTATATCTTTCATTCTGCCTTTCAAATGAATAAATACATATATTTTGTAAGATTACATGAGCTTACTTAGCAAGTCATAATTCACATTAGAAATTCCTTCTATGAATTTATCTTGATGTAAATCAGTGGCACAGTTCATCACGTTGCCGATGGAATGAGACTGGAACCGAATGCCTCAGTCTATAGAAATGCCTGGCCAAGCCGACAGGCCGCCGTGGCCCTGGGGAGTGCAGACAGAGCCTCTTGCTTTGGACGCTCTGCAGAGCCAAAGTCCAGGGTCTTCTCCCTCGTCTGCACCTCTCCCACCTGCACAGCCTCACCTCCCAAAATAACAGATTTCATTTTTGTTCTGGGTTGTCATGACAACAAGTGCTATAAAAATTAGGAAGCATGCAAATGTGACTATCAGAGCAACCGATGAGCAATGAAAAAAAACAAAAAAGTCTGCAATATATACAGGTAGCAGTGGGCAAGGTGCCCTCTGCCTCTGAAAGCAGCAAGCATTGCTGTACTGAGGAGTGACACCTTTAAAAGCAGATAC